ATGTTGTTGTTGAACCGACGACATTGCAAATCCAAATGCATGCAAATCTTGAAAAATATATTATTATTTTTAATTTTTACATAATACTCCATTCGTTTCAAATTAGATAACGTTTTATAATAATATATTTGTTTCAAAATAATTGACATTTTCAGATTTTCTATGTAATTTTTAAAGTTTTTTCCAAATTTATCCCTAATTAATATTAAATATTTTATATATTTTAAAATAAATATTTTTCTATGTAATATATAAGGGTATTTTGGATAAATCATTATTATTTTTTATTTGTGTATTTAAATGTTAAAGGATATCTAACGACGTGTTATCGTACATCAAGTAACGGTGGAATAAATAAGATGAAAAACAAATTTGAAAATTGTAGAAAACCAAAGAATTTCATGAAAAATATATAAATAAAAATTAAATTAGTCTTAAATGCGATGCGAGTGTCATCGCAAGAAACCACGAACCAAAATTTTCTTGTTAGCTTTCTTTTTTCTTTTTTTTTTTGCAAAAAGACCAAAAGAATAGTCAATTTTGTTGTGTTGTGGATATTAACAATGAATATACCGTAATTTGAGTTCAATTGAAAATATTTAATTTTTTTATTTCTTTGTTTGAGTTTGATTTTTCTTATCTCGTTAATTTTGTTTATAAAAATATATCTAAATAAAGTTGATTTAAATATATTTTAATTTAATTAATTCGAGAGAAATATCGGTAGCGCTCTCTCTATACCGCTGTAAACTACCAAGACTTAAATAAATTTAACTGCTGATAAAAAAAACAATTTTTTTAGTAATTATAAATATATTGTAACAGAATTAAATTCTTTAAATAATGATCAAAATTCTTATAGTTCCGAGAAAACACAGAAGTAAAAAAACATACTTTTTTACAGCTTTAGCCAGCAACCGAAAACGTACAAAACGACAAATTTTGGTGGCAGGGCTGGTGGCTTCAGGACCGTACGACGTTGTGGTTAGGCAATGTGACTCGCGGTAAATTTTGAAACGCTGTTCGCGGTAAGAAAAATAAAACTTTTAACAATTTAAAAAAAAAAATCGGAAATTTGACGGTGAAGAAAAAAAAGTACAACATCGTATTGGAAAGGAAAGAGACTTAAATATCCAGTAGGCATGCGCCACGTTATTTAGAAGATTTAAAATATGAATTCAGCTTAATCAAATAATAAAACAATACATTGAAATTAAATTTAATTAGATATAATGTGTCTGAAATTAACGGAGTTAGAACTGAATTCAAATAAAATATAAAAATAACTTATAAAATCAATCAGTTTATTACCTTTTGACAATGTAAAATTAAACAATACTTTGTGCTTTACGTTTTATTTCTCGTGTTAATAAAATAAAGAAACAGTTTCTGGTAATTCCAAGTAATAAATCTTGAACTTCAAAAAAACACTTGTATTTTTCTTAGCCCTTTTATAAATAGTTCTATATTTCCATGTCAGCAAAAAACAGGTTTGTGATTTTGTACCATAGAGAGAGGTAACTCTGAGTACAGAATTGTCATTTAATTTAGAAACTATTTAATCTCATTTTTTATTTGGAAATTATCTAAAAACCAGTTATAGGAATCGTAGATTCGGGATTCCTACAACGTAGCTGGTCGGAAAATAGCACAAAAAAAGAAAAAAAAAAGAGCGGACACTGTGAGCGTGATCTTCTCTCTGCGGTACGGTCGTATTCTACTGTGTCTTGTTCTTACATTTTTTTCTTTTTCTTTTTCTTTTAATTCAACCGCAGTTAAAAAATCATGAGTAATCACGTTTGGTTTTGATCTCTGCTCTTCGCTTTGTTGCCGTTCCCAACGAACCTGCTAATCATCTGATCGATCCATTTATTCCTAGTGATCCTCAGGTTTCTCTTCTTCCCCTTCCATGGCTACTTTTTTCTTTTAGGCCCATCTTATTCTCCTCCTTTTTCTTTTCCCGTTTCCTAATTCCCTCTCAGTTCGCTTGATCGATCGTGGGTTCCTTGAAAAATCCGAAATTTTCTCGAGTTCGTATCTGGGTGCTTCGATTCTCCAGGTCTGAACATGGCGGTCGTTGAGAACGGCGGTGCTGATGCTGGGGCCGGCGTGATCTCGCCGTCTCCTCCGTCGTCGGTGGTGAGTCAGGACTCGGGTGTGTCGTCCAACGACCGGGACCACCAGTCGAGGATCGAGCTCGGTCTGAACCCGAGCGGTGGCGGTCCGGTTCTCCGACATGATCAGGGCGGCATCTACGGCAAGATCGGTTCGCACGTGCCGAGATCCGACGGAGACGACGGCGGAGAGAGCTTCAAGCGCGAGATGAGGGAGCTTCAGGAGCTCTTCTCCAAGCTCAACCCCATGGCCGAGGAGTTTGTTCCTCCGTCGCTGGTTAGGCAAGGCAGTGACGGCTTTAACGGCGTCAACGGTGGTTTCATCACCGGCTTCAACTCCTTCCTGAGCAACAATGTCTTTGGGGCTCCCGGAAACGGCTCCTTCAACCGCGGTTTTCGACGGGTAAGACGCCGGCGTCTCTCTCTGGCTGACCTTATTTCCGCGTTTGTGAAGAAAATTTCGCCAATTTTTTTCTAGGGTTTTGGGGTTTTGATAGCATAGACATTAGTACTGAACAAATCCTTAGTTGTTTTCCTCCTCGGGACTTTGTATCTGTTTCTTCCTGCCTACACTGTATCTGTTGTTTTGCGATTATGGTAGACATTTCACCATCTTTGGGTAGGATTTGGGGATTTCCAAAGTTATGGAACACAATATTGTCTCACTTGTCCTTGGGACTTGAAGTTTAGATTTTTTTTTCTCTGTTTACAAGTACATGCAAAGGTTTTATACGCTGGAATCTGTTGTCTGCTTGTGTTCTGTCTGGTTTACACCCCCTCAAGCTAAGCTGCTTCCTGAAAAGCCTTGTGGAAAGCTTTCAAATCCAATGGTTTTTTCTATATCGATTCTCGCAGAAGAAGAGTTTCGGGCAAGGGAAACGGAGGATCAACAGTAGGACGAGCATGGCTCAGAGGGAAGAAATCATCCGGAGAACTGTCTACGTCTCTGACATTGACCAACAGGTCGAAAAGCTTGCGCCTTTCCTCTTGGATTGTCATCAAGGCCCCCCATTTCTTGCACCCTGTCATGTATACTTCTCTGGGTTTGTCTCTGATATCGGTGTGTTTGGTTGTACAGGTCACCGAGGAACAGCTTGCTGGTTTGTTTGTCAGCTGTGGACAGGTTAGCCATCTTTCCGGGCACTTGTCTTAGATACTCCATGTTCTGTTTCGGGAATGTTTTTGTGTTAACTGCTTAGATTAGCAAAGCAGGTCGTTGATTGTCGTATATGTGGTGACCCTAACTCGGTACTTCGCTTTGCTTTCATAGAGTTCACTGATGAAGGTATTAGAAAGACTTTAACATTCTGTTGTGCTATGCCTTCAGTAGTTTGGTGGTTTTTGTGATGTGTTATTGGTTTGTTTTGTGTAGAGGGTGCAAGGGCAGCACTGAATTTATCCGGGACGATGCTTGGATTCTACCCGGTTAGGGTTCTACCCTCCAAAACAGCTATTGCGCCGGTTAACCCGACCTTCTTACCGAGGGTGAGATTTTCTTGAAGTCATAGGATTAAGCATAGTTCCCCGGTTCTTGGATTCGGAAAATGATCTGTTTCTGCTTTGTGGGTTCAGACCGAAGATGAACGTGAGATGTGTGCCAGGACTATCTACTGCACTAACATTGACAAGAAGGTATTTTTCTATTGAAAGTGTTTCATATCCTTAGTTATATAAAATCTTACCTGAATTACGTTTTCGCTTTCTGGCTCGTGATGATGATCGTTATTCACTACAGGTCACTCAGACCGATTTGAAGCTCTTTTTCGAGTCTGTCTGTGGAGAGGTTCATCTTTTTTCTTAATCAATTATACGGTCTCTATGAACTCAAAAACAACATTTTCCCACGTGCTTGCATACTGATGATTGTTATTTAGGTGTACCGCCTGAGGGTTCTTGGAGATTTTCAGCACTCAACTCGTATCGCTTTTGTAGAGTTTGTGATGGTAAGTGGATTAACATTCCCCGAAATCTCGCTCATGAATCGGCTTTCTGGGTATGACTGTAACCCTTTTGTTTCTCGATGAAAACCGATCCAAATACCATTTAGTATTTCTGCTGCGGTTTTGAGCGTAAGGCCGGCTACAGCGAACTAGGCTTGTGTTTTTGGGTAAAGGACCGATTTTTATAGGCTCCAAGAGATGATGTTGACGTGAAAACGTTCTTCCAGCAATGCAAATCTCAGGAAACTAGCTTTCTAAGTAATCGTTGTGCATCGTTTTCAGGCTGAAAGCGCGATCGCAGCTCTGAACTGCAGTGGCGTTGTTCTTGGTTCTTTCCCGATAAGGTAAGAGAAGAGCCGAGCTCGTACCATATGTTTTCTATAAATCGGTTTTCGATCTCTTCCACCTCCGACCCAATTGTACCTTCAATGGTTGGCAGGGTGAGCCCTTCAAAGACGCCTGTCCGCCCTCGTTCCCCACGGCTTCCCATTCACTGATACTACCTGCAGATTTCACAGTTATATATATACTGTCTCTGTCTCACCTCAGACAGCCATCTGAAGATGTCAATCTGCATCTCTGGTCTCTGTTTTTTTTTTTGGGCATATGCTAATCCCGAAGGTGAAGATGATGGATGCTCTTCGTTTGCGTGGGAAAACGCTCTTTTAGGTAAATCTTCGTAGAAAAAAAGATGATCTACGTTTTCGTCTCGTCATGGCTCTTTTGAAAACAGAATGAGCTCTTTCTCTGTCATTAAACTCGCTTGGTGTTCGAGATGACACCTTTGCTTAAACTTAAATTTTTAGTATATAGTTTTTATTTAAATTCTATCTATGATCATGGTTGATAACATTTTAACCCGACCAAATTCAGACATCTATAAACAAAAACATAATTGGATTCGTGTAAGGTTTTTAATATATATCCAGGACGCTTTACGAGAAAGGGTCTGCATTCGATTAGAGTTTAATCATATACATACATACATACATACATACATACATATATATAATAATAATATTAAATTATTAAATCGATTAAGATGCGATTATATAACCACTAGAGCATATAATTATAGACAAAACTTACCTAATGTACAAATAAAATAATGGATTAATTACGTCAGTATGACCATGGCTTTACATGACAAAGGAATCTTGTCGAGTTGCTTGACATGCAAACTTTGCTCGGCAGCTTTCACCAACCAGACAATTCCATTCAACTGTCGATTATATATTATTATATACATAATTATTTGGTTATTAATTTACATATATTTCTTGCTTTCACAGAATATTTTAAATTTTAATTATACTTAGGTTTTGTAATTTTTTTTATTAAGGTTCTCAATTTTATAAAATTTATATCTATTTAATCTTTATATCAACTTTCATTTTTATACGGATTCTATTTCTATTTTTTAGTTTTTTTTAATATTCATTTATAGATATTTGTTTCGATCAGTTTTTCGATTATTTTCATCATCAAATTCGATTAGTGTAGCTTAAAACATTATACTAACTAAACCTATCTAAATCGAATTCATTTCATATATATATATATATATATATATATATATATTATTTGTTTGGATTCGATTTTATGTGAATTGATTAAAATAGTCTACTACCGATAACCATAATAACCATAAACGGAGCGCAGTCAAAGAATTAATGGAATTTGGTGCAACTGAAAAAGAGGAAACAACATATATATAAAAAGTTATTGGGTGTAAATTGTTTGTTGATATATTTAATAAAAAAAAAACACATAATATCACTTTGTAAATTATGTCCCGTTTTTAAAAAGCTCTCTAATAGTGTTACTATTTTATTTCATATTTATACTTATAGCAACAGCATTATTAGTTTATTATCCTATGGTGAGTGACATGACAAGGAAACAAAACAAAAAGTTATCTGCATTTTGGTACATATATGTTATTTAAAAACATTTTTATAATTTTAATATATTGAAAGTATATTCTACCATAACGACGACAAAAAGAAATAGTTAGTAAAATTCTTAGAACAGTATTTGTAACCGATAAATTTTAATATAAAATATCAATTTGGAGGTGCGATAGACATTTGAGGAGAATGTTACTGAAGATGATTACAATACAAATTTTAGATTATAATATATATATATATATATATACACGTTTGCTAAATAAATAAATAAAATATAAATATATGATAATATGGAAATGTAATTTTAGGTTTCCCGAATCTAATTTATAAATTAACTAAATAATTCAAAATCGGCAATGGCAATTAGAGAAAGTGAAAGGGGAGTAAGGAGTCAAAAGTCCTTAATCATGTAAAATTTGTTAGTCCATCAATTTGTACCCAAAGCATTATATTAACCATAGAATTTAGGGAAATAAAACATCATTATTGACGTTGAAACACATATGCCCCATTTCACTCACAAAGTCACCTTCTGGACCACAACCTTTTTACATTACACATATATATATACATACACTTTACTAGTCAAATAATAGCATATATCATGGCCTTATTATATTTTTTCACATATTTAATCCACACATTTTTTTACTCGTAATATTATACGAAACTATAAAAAATCTTAATAATATATATTTTTTTGCAAAGAGAGAGAGAGAGAGAGAGAGAGAGAGAGAGAGGGTTTTGTTGCGAAAGCTCAGTGTCTCCCATCGTCTTTTTCGTTGGGAGTGGTTGCTCCTCCACCCTAAACCCTACTTCATCTTTACCCCCATCCACGTCACTTGCTTCTCATCTCTACATACACTCATACACACACACACATATATATATGTATACATATATGTGTGTGTGTGTGTGTGTGTTTCCACAATGTTTTTCATTGTGCCCTTGGCCGTTTGATCCGGTTTGCTTTGTGTATCGAGTTTCACGTGAAACTTTTCAATTACGTAATATACCAATATTTCGCTTTCGTCATTGCATGTGTTGGTCGATGTTTTACGTTCCCATATGCATCTTGAACCATAACCCTAATTTATATATATATATATATTAATGCGATTTCAGTTCTGCGGATAAAACAACACAATTTACAATCTGATATATGCAACATTAACCCCGCATTTTTCTCCCGAAACGACAAAATAATTCCAAAACAAAAATAAAGCTTGAAAGAAATAATGCAAACATGAAACAGAGGCAAAGGCGTACGGAGAGAAAGTGTGGAAAAAAGGCCAATAATAATAATAGAGTGTCAAAAGATTATTTTTCAGGACAGATTGAAGGTTCGAGTGTCACGATTCGTGATAAGCTAAACGGTCCCTTTGCTCTCTTTTCATCAACATTTATCAAACGTTAAGAACATTATCGTTTCTTTGTCCGAAAAAAGTTTTCTTCGATTTTCTTAGATCGGGTTTCGAAAATACATAAAAACTTTCGGCCCTATATTTAAGTTCCAGATCTGAAATGTGTTATCGTTTTGCATCGATCGACATCAAAAGTATATGAAATATCTTATGCATTAATTAATTGTTATACCAAACTCTTTTATTTGCTTTTTTTTTTCAAAATTGCAATGTGAACATGAATCCAAATTCTACTAGATCGGTTTTATCGCAAGACAAACATTACAAACAAAAAAATGCAATTAGCAGCGATGAAATACATATTTTAATTTTTAAATTGATGATGTGGTGCTAACGTGATAACTTAGTCGGCGCCATTTTAGCAGTCCATCGTGTCACGTTAACAATATTTTTAATCAAATGAGTTAAAGGTTTTAATCTTTTTTTTAAAAAAAATTCAAATTCACGGTTTTTTTTTTGTGAGAGATTTTCGTAACTAAATTGCAACGTTTGTATTTGTATGGTGTCTAAATATTTTCGTAACTAAATTGCAACATTTGTATTGGTTATATATTTGCAATTTTTTACAACTAGAAATGTGTTGCAAAAAACTAATGTATAGAAAGCTTTGTAAAAGTCAATGCTTTCTTGTAGTATCAAACCAATAAAATGACAATGTGTACCTTAGAAAAAAGCAAGCGAAATGATATGATGTGGTAATATAAATAATGTAAGAATGGAAAGTTAAAAAATTATTTATAGATATATATGATATTATGCGATAAAAAATAATCCAAAAAATGGTTATTAAAATGTAGTCAAAATTTATATTGGGATAGCATATATGATATATAAAAAAAATATAGAGTATTATCGTCTAGTATTGGGATTGAAATATATATATCTACACACACACACACGTTAACCTTTTTATTTATATCCTATAGTTTACATATTACGTACGCACCACCGTCAGACGAAAGATGATGTAATGTGTAGAAAATTATACATGCTCATCAAAGTCGAATAGAATATGGAAAACATTATGGTTAGGGTAGTTAATTTGGTAAATTATTTCAATTTAAACACTTTTAATGCACGATTAATGTGATATTTTCTCTCTCTCTCTCTCTTTACGGGGGCCATATAGCCGTGCACAACCACCGCTATAAATCGTCATCATTTTCATCGCTCCTTCTAATATCTCTCTACTTACAGTACTAATCATTTCTTGCAAAAATCAAATCTAATCTCCATTATTAAGCTCTGTCGTTAATTAATGGAGGATAATGAGGTTAATCTGTCTATTAATGGGCAGTCTCAGATCCCTCCAGGCTTCAGATTTCATCCCACGGAAGAGGAACTCCTCCGCTATTATCTCCGAAAGAAGATTTCCTACGAAAAGATCGACCTCGACGTCATTCGTGAGGTCGATCTCAACAAGCTCGAACCATGGGACATTCAAGGTGTATACATATATATACTTGATTCAGTCCTAGAATGTATATATGTATCTCAATTTAGTTCATTCTTCTTCTGTGTAGTTTTTAGAATTTACACTATTTACCATGAATTTCTTTATTGTGTTTATTAGTAATTATTTTGTTTATAGAATTATATTAACTTCCCATAATACTCAAATTACTCCCTCTCTGTCTTTTGTTTGGTGTCTGAGGTTTTTGTCTTGATAACATGTACGTAAGAGCATGGATTCGGTCCTGCATGGATTTGGTCTTAATTCATGTACGTATAAAGATTGAAGCTGAAGTTAAATAATATTGGTGTGTAGAGAGATGTCGAATTGGTTCGACGCCACAGAACGATTGGTACTTCTTCAGCCACAAGGACAAGAAGTATCCGACAGGAACAAGGACTAACCGAGCGACAGTGGCCGGGTTCTGGAAAGCGACGGGACGAGACAAGATCATATACAGCGGTCTCCAAAGGATCGGATTGAGGAAAACACTCGTGTTCTACAAAGGAAGAGCTCCTCATGGTCAGAAATCTGATTGGATCATGCATGAGTATAGGCCCGACGATAATTCTGTCGCCCGGACAACTAATAACGTAAGTTGTTCCGACTTTTTACATCGATTTAAATGAAATCGTGTGTATATATCACCATTGCTTATACAATTAAACAGAGAAAGAATATTTTAGCATTTGGTTAGAAAGAAGCAATAATATGAAAATAAATTTGGTTATATATGTACCGTTAATTACCATAAATTTTTCATCAACTAACGTAGAGATTGTCTTTCACCCACGTGACTGATCTAATGCAGGGTTTTGATGTTGTCACTGGTGACTCCATGAACTGTAGCGAAGATGGTTGGGTCGTATGTAGGGTTTTCAAGAAGAAGAACTATCAGAAGATCACAGATTCTCCTAAAATTAGTTCATCTCCTCTTAATCCCGAGAAGCCGATGTTTCGCAATCAAAACGGAAACGTTTTGGATCAGATTCTTCTCTGCATGGACAGGACAGGTTCCAACATTTGCGGAATCGAGAACCAGATTACGAACGACAACCTAGGACTGTTCGGTTCGTGCCACGAAAACGCAGAAGACGTTCTCTTGCATGAGAGTTTCATGCAACTTCCACGTCTAGAGGCACCCAAGTCCGAAAACCACCCGGTCGATGAGAACCGGTTAGGCAAGTCACCGGTCCAGGGGGAGAGGACCGGGCCGGTTAGTGATTGGGCGAGTCTTGACCGGCTCGTGGCTTGGCAACTGAACAATGGTCATCATCGAACGGTCGACATGTTCTATCGTAACAAATCTTTTTCGGATGATCATCCGAATTTTGAAGAATATGGTAATAAGATTCAAAGATTGGACCTCCAATGGCATAACAATGATGAAGACATCGATATATGGAGTAGTCTCACTGAGTCATCGTCCTCTCTTACGTCTTTAGACCCTTTGGGGCATTTGTCTGTATGATTATACTATATATGTATCAAGATATATATATATATATACACACATATATACCCACACGCATTTATATACAAGGAGCCATGTCCTTCTTCTGTATATATATATATATATATATATATATATATATATATATAATGCATGTAATTAATTAATGCCATCTTTTTTGGGGAGGGGTCACAAGGCAGGCATAATTGACACCAACCTATATATTTCACTTAGTCACCATCTTAATCAATATGTACTCGATGAAATATTCAATCAAAAAATAGGAGAATGAATTGAGATCGAAATGAAGATTAAATCGATTAAAAACGTAACATGTTGACAAAAGAATCAAAGAAAATAAATTTCCGACGATTTTCTGTATATTCCTTAAATTTAATGACCCTAATTCGATATATTCCGATAATAAACCTAAAATTGAAAATAAAGGGTTAGTAAACGATGAATAATAAAGAATATAGTAATGCAAGTATCATTGTCTCAATGACGCAGGGCTTGTAATGAAGTGATATATGTTTTGACTTATATATAGGTGAATGTAAGTGTTGCCAAATATTGGTCGGACTATAGATGATATATATTCTTCTTTCGTTATCATTCAGACTTTGATTCCAATGTTGTTATCTTTTCGTTTTCGTTGCAGAATCGAGAATCCCCTTGTCGCATTCCAAGCAGCGACACACACACACACAATAACGTGAGCATATTTCATTTATTTATTTTAAAAAAATTACTTTATTTATAAATTATGTTTTCTTCCTAATGAAATTTAGACTATCCTATGTTATTCTTCTGTGCAAGAGTATTATAGGGAGAGAAAAAAACAACTATTTAAAGATCACACAATTTTTTAAAATTCAGATTATATATTATGCCATCTCCCTGAATATCAAATTTTTAAATACCCAATCCATTGTTGATAATATTTATGAAGATGTATATATTTCAATATATTTTAAGATTTTTATAACACTACAAAAAAAATGGTCCCGTTGGAAATGACCAAATTTCCGTTGAAAATTAACGTTTCCAACAGATTTCCAACGGATTTATCCGTTGAAATTTCGTCGTTAGAAATCGGTGTCCGTTGGAAAACCGTTGGAATTTTCAACAGAATTGCAACGAATTTTTCCGTTGAAAATTTCCAACGGATTTCCAACCGGCATCCGTTGGAATTTTCCAACGGAATTTTCAACCGCATTCCGTTGGAATTTTCCAACGAAAAATTCGAAACGTATTCCCGACCCTACCCGACACCGACACCGATCCCAACCCCGACCCCGACCCCGACACTGACACCGACCCGACACCGACATCGACACCGACATCGACACCAACCCGGTCCGACCAAACCACGATCCCGAAACTCACTTCCCAGTAGGTAACCCATCCTTCCACTGTTCCAATTCAATCCTCTTTAACCCTAGAGTTCCAATTAGAACTCTTCCAACTCCTCCAAGTTAAACTTTTGATATCATATAACATTAATATATATACATATTCAAATTCATATATATATATATATATATATATATATATATATATATTTGTTATGTATATGTATATATA